GGGGGGGGGGGAGCGGAACGTAAAAGCAACTTAAAACAAGCACAGTGTGCCATGGGCTCAGTACCCAACCACATCTCAGAATCTATAATAGTGCCAAGCCCCACTGTATGGACAAATCCCCCATAGTGTTAAAAGTTAAAATCAACTAACCACAGCTGCTTCAATGTGATGACTCGGTGACCTTGATTCCTCTTCTTTATCATGCGCAAGCTGTTTCCCGCCTCTGCAGAAGTCCTCATGATTCGAGTGGCCAGCAGCAGTTTTGAAGGTTTGAAACACAGACAGATGTCCCATAAGCATAGCTGGTTCTTTCAGCTGGGCATGTTATCCTGGAACATTGCACTTCTTTACTGGAATACCAACAGTGGCAGCGACCAGTTACTGATCCCACAAGCCAAGACGGCATTTCGGCTATATTCTTAGCAGCGGTGGTCAGTTGCTTTTCGCATTACGTGGGGTTTGTCCGCACAGTGGGGATCGGCGATATAATAATAAATTTTCACTAAACCGATGTAGTCACTAAACCCTAAGCGGTTTGCATACAACTACATTGGAGAAAAACGCCTGGGTACATACTGGTTCAAGCAGAATAAACCAAGCCGTCAATTTTTTCCACCACCCCAAAAAAGATGGGCAATTACCCCCCGCCTTCTTTTCAGTCAACCCATACCCTATTCAGAACAGGCCCAGCGCGCACCCTTGCGATACACAATAACGATAACCCAAATTTTCCACTGACCAAAGATGTGGGTCCTGATCGGACGTCACGGGACCCCCCCTGACCGTACGGGATATCCGCTCGGGCAACCGGGCCAAACGTCCGACTGCAGCCCTCTGTGCAAACCTACATAAATAAATATATATATATCGTCAAATAGAACTGCCCGGTAAACCGTAGGCAGAGAGGGAGAAGGAGAAGAGGACAACAAACGAGGGGCTGTGACAAACTGTTTCGTCGGAGTTTCACCGACTCATCAGGAGGCTGAACCCTAATATATATATATATATCGTCAAACAGAACTGCCCGGTAAACCGTAGGCAGAGAGGGAGAAGAGGACAACAAACGAGGGGCTGCGACAATATATATATAGTTGTGTGGATTCTTCTGCAGATAACACAAACGCCCACAAAGTTTTGCGGCATTTTGATAAGTAGAAAATGACTAAAAATCGCCAAAAATGGCGGTGTAAAAAATATCCTCTCCAAATCTCTATTTCGTTTTTTAAAGTTTTTTCTGTTTTTCTTTCCCCTGTTGCTTTAAAAAAAATATGCTCTACAAGTCTCCATCTACCATCCCCCCCCTCCCACCTTTTTACCATTTTTGGGGGGGTGTTCTAGTCGTGCTAAAAAGTTGACTACCACCCCGCCCCCCTCCGATTTTATTTTTTTTTCCCCTTTTTTTGTTGGCTAAAAAGTTGTTCTCCGGGATCCTGGAGAACTCCCCCCGGACTGTCTCCCGAAAATGTTCAGGGGAGATGTCTCCAGATCAGACAGCTGACAGCCTAGGTTTTCAGTCAGCCCATGATTTGTTCAGAACGGGCCCAGTACCCACTGCAATGCATGCACAACAGCGATAACTTTTCCACTGATCTTCCCAACAAGATGTGAGACCCAACGCAGGATGTTAATAATATATTCAAAATGGACCCATTCATCATAATACACAACAGCGATAACTTCCATGTGTGAATCACCACAGGTGCTTATTTAGCCATGAAGTGGGACTACAGCAGGGAGCCAAAACCTGCTCCCTTTCTCGCCCTAACTTCTTTTTTCACCCTTCTTCTTGGGAGGGACCGCCCAAGCGTTTTGAGCATGCAGTGTTTTTTTCTTTCTGCTCATTATTCAATCTGAAAAGAAGTCAGTTTCAATAAAATCTCTCTCTCTCTCTCTCTCTCTCTCTCTCTCTCTCTCTCTCTCTCTCTCTCTCTCTCTCTCTCTCGCACGCGCGCGCGCGCGGGGTTGTTTCCGCGTGGCGTATGACCTCTGAGGATCAAGAGAGACGTTTTGCACTTACCAGATATGCACTCAATCTACGTCTACCCTGGTTTCCCCGCTCACCCCCCGCTAATGTCCCTGTTTTTTTTTTTTTTTCTTGAGTTCTTATCATAACTTCTGAGAATGAACATTACAGGAGTCAGCGCCGCCCGGCCCCTCTCGCAAAGAGCTGCCAACCACCCGCAGCTGCCCATGGGACCCGAACAGTGGGTGGTGGTTTAATTGTGACTTTCCTGGACCTGGCAGACACCTTCCCTCCATAGGGTTACAAAATGTTGTTCAAAAGTCTGCTCAACGAACAGCCTTTGCAGCTTTCACAAGATAGTCCCCACTATCATTCTGGGGAGAATGGAGAGGTTCTGTCTAAAAAATAAGTAATAAATAAATAAATAAATAAATAAAAGTCCCCACTACCATACTTTGCCAAGATCCCTCACCCTATGACAGCACTACATTCCTAACCGTGCTACAGCTCTCCAGCAACTTCAAGACCCTTTCTTTACCCAGCCACTTTGACATGTTGGCTACGGTCTGCCCTCTCTTCTGACATGAATAATCTGTCTGTTCAGGCCTGCTAGACATACGTGCCTGCAGTGAGTGGGCAAAATGTGCAGACCAAGGAAAGGATGCCCTCCCCCTCAACTTCATAGGTTTGTGTGTGGTCAGGGAAAGAAACTGCAGGCACCACCAACCCATACACGCAAGGAGGGACAGCACAGCCCCCGTAGAGGAGGGTCCGTTCGAGCAGAGTACCTGATATGACTAATGCAAGCCCGAAGGAAGGGGGTTGGAGAGAGATTGCACGCATGACCAACACGCCCAAAAAAACATGACAGTCGCTCGCAAAGAACAGAAATATCTTCATCGCAGTGCGTTATCCATAACCGAGGCAAGAAAGCACGGATGCCGTGATATTTTTGAAACCTGCGCTAGCGCCGTCACCCAAACAGAGTGCCCCGTCACTATCGCTGTATCCAAACCGAAAGTTGCCCTAAGAATACAGCTACAGCAACAGGGCGTGCTATTTGGGTGAAGACGGTAACGAGGAAGGAGGGGTTGCATGATGCCACGCTCCTGCGTATCAACATTCTTCCCTGGCACTAACTTCCTCTAATGTCCCCAGACCAATGCAGTGCTTGTTCCCCCTGCCTACCAATTGCCAAGAAAGGAAAGAAAAGAAAAGAAAAATAAAAAATGCACCTGGGCCCTCCCCGTCACCTGGCTGTGACCATTTTACGCAAAATTGTCAGTCTGTCTTCCCTGTACCCACAATGTTGGGGTATCTTTGCAGGCTGAGATCCCTTTTGGAGCTGTACACGGTCTTAACGTCACTTTCAATTTCTAGGCTGGCTCACCTCAGGGCCGATCTGAAGTTAGATAGATGGTGGGCGCTATACCTGTCTCGCAAACCAAAAGGTAGGCTAAATAGTAAATACACCCTTTGCACGGATGGATGGCGAGGGGGCTGAACCCCCGATGTTTTGCAATACATCACTTACACCCTTTGACCAACAGTGCTGAACACGGCATCCAGTGAGTTCTGCTGCCTTCCGCAAAGACATTCGATGTGCAAGCAAGCCTGCCTGGCACTGCTCGCTTAAAAAACTATCGACCTTCTGACGTGGAACAGAGGGAATCTCAGACAGGAAAAGCACCCTAGCCTCCAAAACTTCCATCAACTGGAGAGTACCCTAACCTCCACAACTTCCATTTACTGGGGTGTACCCATCTTATAAGTTGGTAGAAAGTACAAGAAACTCTAATTCCAGTGAAAAGTTGAAATCACACCTCTCCACAGGAAAAATACTGGGACAATTGCAACAGCTGACATCAGCTAAATATGCACAGCCACCTCAGATGGTCTAAAGGGGGGTTCAGATGGGTTTCATCGACCAATACACAGCCCCAGCCACCTTGAGAATCCCTACTGAGCCTCTCTGAAAAAAATCGAAGGCTCGGGAATAAAAAGGGGATAACAGGGGGTAACAGGTGGTTACAAGGCGGGTGACAGGGGGATAAGAGGGGTAGCAGGGGGAGGGGTAAGAGGGAGGAAAGAATGGTCTTTTAAGAGTGTGGTAAGAAGGGGGCGAAAAAGGGGGTAACAGGGGGTTACCAGGCGGGTGACAGGGGGATAAGAGGGGGAGGGGTAAGAGGGAGGAACCAATGCCGTCAATCCTTGTGCCCTTCTGATTACCAGGCGGATGACAGAGCGATAAGAGGGGAAGGAGGGGGGCAAGAGGGGTTACAAGGGAGGAGGGATTGGCATCGATACTTATGCCCTTCTGATGCCCCGCACGAAGTGTCCTGACCCCGTGGGAGGAACCTGCAAGAGTCTAGTATATAGCCCAGATGACATCACATACATTTCCTTTGGAAAGCCCTACCCAGTAGGTTTCGAAGCGCCGCAGAATCCTGTCCCTTGCCTCTGAGACCGCATTCCACTACCCAACGGTCATATAGCATCCAGCCGGATTTGAACCTGCGATCATTTAGGACAAAAGCCAGTCCACGTTGGAATGCCGCAACCCCGAAGACTTAGATTCCCAACTCCTGGCAGACAGGTCAGCTCCGCAAATATGTGACAGATTGAGAAATATCTACCAACGATTCGACCATTCTCTACTGTCATCCTTCTGCCTCCCATTTTGAGCAGGCGTCATAATCACACATGCGATCCACACACTTCGTAAAAGTAAGTTCGTCATCTGCCGCCTAGCAACCCCAGCAACGACTTCTTTCTCCTTCTCTACCCTCAACCTGGGGCACTGCCATGCAAAATAGTATGCTGAAGAGAGGGGCACACCCCTGCAGACTCTTCCCCTCCACCCCCCTCTCATCAAGGAGCTTGGAGAACAACGAAAGGTCGCAAAGCAACTTCGTTGCAAAGGCTGCCCTGTGAGGGCATACTTACAGCAGGACTTCTTCTGGACGTTCTTCGTCAGTCAGCTACGTACAAAATGGACTGTGATTGCGGCCAGATACATCCAGAAAATGCTGCCAGTGGCAACAGGGAAAGAGAGAGACAACGAGAGAGCTGACACTTTTCTCTGTCCAGCTTCATGGCCAGCCACACTAGTGCCCAAAATCCCCGCTGCAGACACATAAATCTATCGATCGGGTCTCAGATCCCCTCTTCAACCCCCCTCCCCCGGAACCCCTCCTCTAAAGTCCGGACATATATGAAGCGCAGCGACGTGCATGACCCTTATCAATTGCATGCACCTAGTCGCAATTGCGGCCAGGTAAGTGGCATTGCAGTCTCTCTGCGTACACGGGACAATAAGGAAGAACCTGTCTGCACCTTGCTCGCAGTTTCTTAATGAATATGTTCCACCGCTGTGGTACCCGTTGATTGGCCCGTTTATGAGGGGTCCATCAGTCAGGCCTCGTTACGGTGAGTGAATCAGACACCTGCTGGTTCAGACCCGCCGCTGACGCCGCAGGAATCGCTGTTAGAATTGTTGTCCCGCTGACCATTTTGGCCATCGTACTCTCCTTTATAAGCTGTGTACTTTTTGGAAGAACCCCTGCACTTGTCGGCGGGATATTTCGCTTCGTTCAGCCTCAACTTCCGTAGCGCTGCCGCCCCAAGGTCGATATCGCACGAATCCGCAAGGCGCACCAGGTACAGCAGCACGTCCGAAAGCTCTTCTCCTACATGTTCCCGCTCCTTCTCCGACCAACCAGGTAGCCCCTTAGGTACTTCCCCTCTCCATTGAAAAATCTCAGACAGCTCTCCCACCTCGCCAACCAGCGCAAGCAAAAGGTTCCGCGGCGCGTGGTACTGCTCCCAATCTCGATCGCGCGCAAAGGTTCCGAGTCGCGATCTCAGCTCCTCCAACGTGACACGTGAAAATGTTGTCGGCTTTTCCTGCTCCTCTCCTCCATGATCACGACATACGGATGCGGTAGTATGCTCCTCTGCACCTGACTGCCCCAAACAACGTTCCAGCTCACAGTCCCTCCCATCTGCCATCACGGCTAAAGAAGCTGAAACAAAAATGCATGGGTAGACAACGACTACATCAGTGAGAAAGATAAAGGGGAAAGCAGTTGTTATTCTTTTTCCTTGTTTTCTTCTTCTTCTTCTTCTTCTTCTTCTTCGACTTCTTCTCCAATTGCTTAATTGAATTCATCATTGAAACTCATGTCCGCAAATAAGAAGATCTAATATTCAATTGATAATTGAATTGAATTTACAATGTCAGATTTTACACTCGTCAGAACATGGAATGGTCTAAGCGTTGAAAGCTGGAGCGATGAGAGAGTTGTAGATGGCGGGACGCCCGGTGACTGGAGCAGAGCCGGGGGAGCCAAGGCCCTGCCTCCCTGCGGTAAGCCTAATGTGTGACACGGTACATAAGTAGGTGTCCCAGCCATTAAGCCTAGCCTGGAAGATGAGAGTTGCCCCCCCCCCCCCCCCCCCCCCCCCCTTCTCCAGCGTTCGTCTAGAGCGGCAGGAGATCGGGCTGTTTGTTACTTGACTTTCTATTCGTACCATTGGATCCCACTCATTGTGAGGGACGCTGGACCCGTTTTCCAGCAGGTGCACCTCCCCACCCACCAATAGACTGGAGCCTGTGTTCAAACTATATATAGGTACCTTGAGGGCAGTGGTTGGTGGTCCCCACCACCTCAGGGTATCAGTTGTTGGGGAGTTGTTGATGCATAACCACGGCTGGGGTTAAGGTGGATGATCACTTACAGTGTAATCAGTCAGTTAGGGGACTCTGCAGACTGTTGAGGGTTCAGCCTCCTGATGAGTCGGTGAAACTCCAACAAAATAGTTTGTCACAGCCCCTCGTTTGTTGTCCTCTTCTCCCTCTCTGCCTGCGGTTTACCGCGCAGCTCTGTTTGACGATACATATGTATACACCAACTCAATCCCTAACTGATTACACTGTAAGTGGTCATCCACCTTAACCCCCGCCGTGGTTTAAGCATCAACGACTGCCCGACAACTGATACCCTAAGGTGGTGGGGACCACCAACCACTGCCCTCAAGGTACCTGTGACGAAAATCAAAGCAGACTATCACTCACCCACACCAGATGGAAAGCTCTACAGACTGTCGCTTCACCCCCGACCACAAGCCAGCAAAACAATCTAAGCCAAAAAATACACTCCCAACGTGCCGCTGGCACTAGAGGCACATATATATTGTCACATAACTATGAACTAATAAAGCGCACTTTGCGAAACAATCGGCACAAATAAAAAATATAAAAAAAACAAGACAAACATAAAGGGCACACTGAAACCATTCATTTTTCTCATTCTTCTTTCGACTCCCCTTTCACCGTGCCTCTCACGTACAAGGCTCGCCACGTTGATGAAGTTGAGCGCGAGCTGCCCCCATCCCCATCCCCGTGTGCCATAACAGCCCACTTGTACGCTGTGAGAAAAAGGCAGAGTGAAGGGGGAGGGGATAAACACAGGGAGGAGAGATGGAGAGCAGACAAACAAAGAACGATGAAGGGAAAGTATGGAGTGTGGAGTGAAGATGAAGGCAAAAGAGGATAAGAAAAAGCTCAAGAATGAGTCTGTCCTTGACGACAGAGAGGACATACATTGTAAGGATGAGGTGGATGAACACATGGAAGACCTAGCTGAGCATTCTCAGTGCAACAATTGCCACGACGGGTGGCATTGAGCATGCCCACCATACACCCCCGACAAATGGCATGTCGATTGCAGGCCAAAATGAAACAAGAGCGGTCACCAGAAAAGAGCATGCATTCAGTATAGCGCCCATGGCCGCAAAATGGACATAGTGTGTCCGGTGCCTGCAGTCAGGAACGGTGGGACAGTCCTATGCACACATGGATGCAGAAACCATGTCATTGTAATGATTGTGACAGAGACGATGGCGGCTACAGCCGAGTGTAACAGTGTTTGTGGCTGTGCAAAGGAGAAGTTCGCAGAGTGTTGGTACATTGTCTTGCTGCAGCACGGGGCCAGAGGAATGATCATAGACATAAAAGAGATTGCGGACGGTTTGTTGTGGCAAGAAAACAGCATCATTTTGTAAGAAACCAGTGACATCAATCGTGGCATGGACCATGGTGCCGTTGTCCCACAGCTCCCAGTGGTCAGAGGCATGTACAATGGGCCGTGCACACAGCAGGCAGAGATGTGGGATGGAGGATTAAACCACTCACCTGCTCGAGCATTGCGTAGTTCAAGTTGACGGTCCGTCATTGCTACTTGTAGGACAGCAATGGTAAAGCCTCCTTCGCTGGTATAATTACAATCCTCTGGCAGTAGTTGGGGAAGATCAGCATCAAGCTGATGGGCGATTGCAAGGAAGTCTGATGGTGTATAAAACGGGCGGTGGACAATGTGAAGACATATATTAGTTGTCGTCAGACCACAGAGATTGGCGAGGTTCTCAGGCTGGTTTGTTGGATGCTGGCCAACAATTTGCAGATCACCCAGATGGTGTTGCAAGCCCAAATTGTGTTGGGTTGTTTGCTGGTCAGTCATTTGCAGATCACCCATGTGGTCTGCGCATGGCGGAGCACAAAATTGTGGTTCATCAGGACAATGCTGGTCAGCCATTTGCAAATCCCCCATGTGGTCTACGCCTTGTGGGGTCAACTGCAATCCAGGCAGATCATGTTCCAATCCCTCGAAGTTTAGGGCCGCATCCTGAGTAGGGACTGTACCTGGAGCCGTGAGTGTACTCTGGGCAGCAGCTGGTGAGTCGTGAATATCTAACGCCGCAGGGTACCGTGGCTGCCTGCAGGCAGCTGCACTGTCTGCAGGAGGCATAGGTGCTGATATTGGCATCTGAAACAAAGGAACCGCAACAACCTGTGGACGAGGCACAGAGAGAATCGGGGCAGACAAAGAAACAGGTTGCTGATCCCCGGACAAGTGACGATACCGCGGATGACATCGGTGATACACAACAAGAGGAGTAGTGGTGTGGCAAACAGAAGATGTACTTGTACCTAGCGACGAAGGTGGAACAATGGGAACAATGGAAACTAAAGAGTCTGTCCGCAAGCGAGACCGTGGAGGAGATGGGGGTGGTGAGGAGGAACGCAGCCGTCTACGGCCAAGCACAGACAAAGATGAGAGGGGGCTGGATTGGGCAAGATTTCGGAGCAAAGGACGTGAGCGTCGAAGAGATTGTGATGATCTTTGCATTGGAGCTACAGGACAGGAAGCTGTAGCAATAAAAACTAAAGTAGAGGGAATTACAGTTAGGGAAACTGTTCTACTGAAAACTGCAGCAGTGGAAACCGCAGCAGTAGAAACTGCAGCAGCGAAAACTGGAGCAGTGGAAAATGGAGCAGAGGAAACTGCAGCAGTGGACACTGCAACAGTGGGAACCGCAACAGTGGACACTGCAGCAGTGGAAACTGCAGGAGTGGAGACTGCAGCAGTGGAAACTGCGGTAGCAGCAGATGAGCAAGCAGGGGCAGGACGAGAGCATCGTGGGGGTGAAAAAGAAATTGGATGATACAAGGACCGTCGCAGCATGCGTCGGAAACACTGAGAGAGACGCGTCACATGCGTAGGATAGCGACATTGGGGGGAGCGCATGTAGCAGGTCCACCCCTTAGCAAGGGTTGGTGGGGAATGCCCACGCGAAAGCATACGACGAGTAAGTGTTGTTGCCGCAGTTCAAAAGTCCTGCCAATTGTTACAGATTTATTCAAATCTCGTCAATTGCCCAGTGAACACACCAGCCGGTTGATGGGAAGAGATGTTGGAGGTCGCAATTGGATAACGAATGACAGGGAAGTCCCAAGCAGCCACTTTATCAAAGATGCTCATGTGAAGCGAGCCATCAGAACGGACCCGTAGATGCATACCTAAATAGGTACAGGAGCCATCTGTAGTTGTAGTCTCCTTCCACTCAAGCCCATAGTGCTCTGGTGGAGGAGGTAATTGCCCCCATGAAAGAACATCATCAATTAGGCGATAAGTGAAGGCGTATCGCTGAGCAGCTTGGGGATCATGTTGACGAATGTCATCAACAAAGCATGCTTCATCCCAATACAGCGTCAGATTAAAAATTTCTGGACCAGCATTCGTTCCGATTGGAATTCCGATAATTTGTTTCCGAATCGTGCCATCTCTCGTGCATAGAAAAGTGTTTTGTACAACAAAGCGAAGATGCTGGAGAATCTGAGAAACAGAAAGGGTATCCGGGGCTGAATCAGTTGTCCATTGGCCACAACGAGGCCCTCAAATAACCATATTGAGGGCAACGCAGCGTGAATGCATGCGAGCATGCCGAAGGGCATAAGCATGAGCTTCATCAACAGCTTTTGCCACATTATTCAGAATGCGGTCATGAGGAAGGCTGGTGTACATCGTGGTAAAATCAACAGTGCGAGGTGAGAGGCCACGAAGAGACGATGCATTGTTTTTCAGGTCAATCGCCACTTCATCAGCACTCTGAATGATCCAGCACCCTCGAACACCAACCTGTTGATAGAGCTCAGTGTCTTTCTCGCAAAGAGTACAGATCACTCCTTGCAAAGCAGCGCTGAGATACGACGAAGTAGTCGTTGTGCTAGCCAAGGGTTTGTGAGGAGGCCGTTCATGAATGGTGCGAATTGTTGGACGAGGGCGAGCACGCGGGGGAACAACACTGTTATTTTGTGCTGTGACTCCAAGAATGCTGCGAAGAGTTGGAGGAGACTTGTGAGCTTTGAGTACATAGTAAAGGTAAGGTAGGTTATCAGTGTGGGTGTAACCCCAATGGTGATTCAACACTGATGGTGGTCAAGGACCTCAGCAACGGACTCTTGAGGACGAGTATAAGTGGGACTGTCCAAATGGATAGAGAGATGAAACAGATACCAATTCTTGAAGCAAATTGCCAAATTGTGTGATGTTTTGTACATTGGGACAATGGCAAAGTGTTGTTGAAGATGATGCAAGGAGGCATGTTTAGAACGTAGTGAACGTGGCTGGCTCACATGATTGGAGAACGAAGATGCATTGGATTGACAATGCTTAAGGATTGC